CTGAAATTTGAGCTGCTAACGCAATTCTCTTACCTTATTCTTCATTATGTGTTGCCTCAGCTTCATGACATGAATCCTGCCATCTTCCTGAACACGACTTAAAATGCGTAGGGAATAGTTCCTTCATTTTTTTGTCTGGTCGTTTATTTTCTAAATGCTTGGTTGAGTCATGCCAATTTCCAACTGGTGCTTCCTTTCTCCATCTTAACTTCTCCCGTAAATAACTCTTGGTGTTATCAGATTACGTCTAAAGCATTGGTAACACTGGATTTATCAAGTTCTTCTCCACCATGTATTTTTCAGCTCTGAGCTCCTCCTCTGCTAATTGAAAATTAAAATTCTACTATTTACTTTGTGCAGTGGCTTGTTGAGTATAATGCAGCGTTGGCATCAATTTGCTTCATGGTTTTGCTTGGTTTTATGGATGATGTCCTTGATGTTCCCTGGAGAGTGTAAGTATCTGTCAATCCTCCATCATTATCAGATGATATGAGAATATACTTAAATATTAGGAGAAAACTCATGTTGGTATAAGAAGCTCAACCATTCATCACATGGTTTATGTGAACAAATTATGAGATGGAACTGACTCTATTCTGGATTTCCTTCTAATCTGCAAGAACAGGAAGTTAATCCTACCATCATTTGCTGCTCTTCCTTTGCTGATGGCCTATGCTGGACATACAACTATTGTCATACCAAAGCCTCTTATTCCATACGTTGGTATGGAGATATTGGACTTAGGTATGTATTAGAATCATAGTTCACAAGTCTCAAGGAGTGAATGCATTCAATGCATTTGCTTTCCATGTAATTCTCAATTTTTTTCCCACCCTCAAGGTGATCTATTTTCGGAAATTGTATACAGTTGGACACGATATTTAGAGTGGACATGCATGTTGATGTAGATAACTCTTATATCTGTTCTCCAAAAAGTCCCATTGGAGCATAAGTATACTGACCTACTGAGATAACATAGATTGAGCTAGCTATCTTTTTGTCACTGACCTAAGTAAAAAAGGAGAGGTCAAAACCTAATTTTAATTTATCCGTTGATTGCAAACTCATAATGGGTAGTGTAAGTAATGTTGGACATATGGAGAGGATTAAATATGAGCAATCACCAAGATGTTTGTTGTTGTCTTGACCGTCGAGTTGCTTTATCCTCTATGTCACAAATCTAATTATTATCTGGACAGGATGGATTTATAAGTTATACATGGGACTTTTGGCGGTGTTTTGCACAAACTCCATCAACATTCACGCTGGCTTAAATGGTCTTGAAGTGGGTCAAACAGTTGTCATTGCAGCTGCGGTAAGCATGACCTTATGAGTATTTAGCATCCCATTATATAAGAATCTGACACATTTAACCCATTTACAGATTCTGCTGCACAACATTATCCAAATTGGAGCATCGAAAGATCCCGAGTACATGCAGGCTCATGCCTTTTCTATTTATCTTGTTCAACCAATGTTAGCCACATCCTTGGCTTTACTTTCATACAATTGGTAATCAATGAATACTTATCCTTGGTATTTTGAATGTGTTATTAGTATATGTGGAGAACCAACACCTGATAAAGCTCATGTCTCTGCCCAAAATAGGTATCCATCTTCAGTTTTTGTTGGAGATACGTACACTTACTTTGCTGGGATGACAATGGCAGTGGTTGGGATTTTAGGACATTACAGGTAGGCCCTTTCTTGTGGCCTTCCACATCTTAAAGATGCACTTTAACTGTTTAAGGAGATATCAAGTGCAGGCATAGGCGAAAGTGCTTTTATCTTTTTTCAGTTACTTAATCTGTCTTACCTGCATATGCTGTTTTATGCAGCTGAAATACAAGCATTATTCTAGTTATTCTGCACCAGTTAGAAAACTATTATATAGTGCCTATACTTTGTTCCATAAATGATTTACAGCGAGTTATTCTTTGTAGATCGTATTCCAAACCGAATGAATTAAGCCGTGCGATTAGCTGTTTAGACTCTAGAGAAGTGAATTATTATGGGGCTCTGCTCATAAGTCCTGAAAAGACTTGATGGTTAATTACATGTCTTTTGACCAGACTGTTAGAAAATTGTCCCCTGATGGTGATATTCCCCTTTACGTATGCACAATTAGCTGTTAAATTATCAATGGAAAATGAGAGCTGCTGTTTTAAATACCGATACCATAAAAGTCATTAGTTACGTCGTCATCGTGTGGGTCCCAATTTTTACCTTAGGCGAAGCTTTTGCTCGGTCCCAAAATTGCAAGTTTTCACTTCTTTTTTTTCTGGTCATAGTTCTGCACTGTTGCATTTGCTATTGCAGCAGAATTATTGGCAATGCTTTGGAGCTAATTATTTTTCCATTTCTACTCAATCTGGTTCAGTGAAACACTGCTGATCTTCTTCCTCCCGCAAATTCTGAACTTTTTACTTTCACTTCCACAGGTTCTCTCTCTCTCTCTCTCTCAATTCTGTGTATTATCGGTGTCGTTTTTTTATCAAGTTTAGCTTCTTTTTCCAGCTAGCGGGATTTGTCAAATGTCCAAGGCATCGTCTACCTAGGTAGTATTATTTACCTCAAAATTTTAGGTTTCCACTATGGTAATAATGGTCTATGTAATTTGATGACCTGATGATTTTATGTTGACGAATTTCAGGTTTGATCCTCAGAGTGGACTACTGACTGGCACCAATGATGGGACACTAGTCAATTTCTTTCTAAGAGCATTCGGCCGGAAAACAGAAAAGTCACTTTGCATCCTTCTTCTTCTGTTCCAGGTTTTTTTCATCTTGCCTCTGATTCTTTACTAGATGAAAGAAACGGAATCATTTAGGACTCTTGGTCCTCTGACCCATAATAAGCAAGGACGATTTTCCATTTTAGCTGTTTATAGGTCCTGCGTATTAACGAGTTTGTCTAGTCTAAAAGGTGTTGTTCTGCTACATCTTGCCCTAGTGGGCATGTTAGTTGGTTCTTCGGATGACCATTGATCAGGGTCGCAGGCTGCTAGATGGTTTACCTTTTCCCTCTTTTAGAGACCAATAGTTATATCTGTTATAAGTTTTTCTTTTTGCCTTTTTGAGAGAAGCATCTATTATTGCCTCAAATGGACATCACCTATAATTGGAGTCGGCATGCATCATCTTATTTTGTATTTATCTGCTTAGCCATTCTTCAGGATAGTCACAAATAGATATATGTCAACTTCCGACAGGCCATGGCATGCTGCTTCTGTTTCTTGTTGAGGTGGGTACTTACTGGATGGTACAAGTAGAGTGGTGGGATAAGAGTTGTGCATTACTGGTTCTGCTCATGAATTTGTGGAGCTTCACCTCCAAATGGCGGCACATGCTGTATTGTTTGAACTTCAATCACACAGTAAATTTACCCCCTCAGGGCACGCAGATAATCAGGAGAGATGCCAGAGATTTATAGCTTCGATAGAGTTGAACTTGATTTTGACACGAGATGGTTAAAAAGTAGGCTCTCTGACCAGCATGTTTTGTATTAGCTTTGTTTAGTTGTTTAAAATGAGTGCAAAGTTGAAGAGTCTTTGCAATTCTTAAGCCGCTTGTAACCATGCTTTTACAGCTCACTTTTATAGTTGAAGATATTGATTAGTTCTCTTAAATTTCTTTCTCAAAGCAATGTCTGAGATATGTGATTGGACAAATGTAAGATTTCGGCGGGGTATTCCAGCAGAAACATATAGTATTTTGACGGAGAAACTGTCTTGTAATTAGCAAGGATAGATACTAAGATGGGTTCGTTCATTGTCCTCGGTCCAAATTTTACCAAAACAACCTATTATACTTATATAGTGAATCCCACGTATTATATGGATGAGCTCAAATGGCTTTTGCGTGTGTATGTGTGTCTATATATCCATATATAATGAGGAAAGTGGGTGGGGAATAGTATTTGGGTGATGTGGCTTAATCCATAAATTTTTTCTTGCTTCTTTTTTTTTTCCTCATTTTGGTTGAGCGTTGGTAGGTGAAATCTTTCCTTAATAGTTTTTGTCTTTTCTTTTGTTTTTGAAATTAGAAGTGGTGAGTGATTTTCCAAGATGATTTTTGTATGTCCAATCGGTAAACAATATTGGGAATTCAACTCTTGTTTTTGATATTTTGGCTAGTGAGTTCAAAATTAAAAGTTTGATGAACTATTCAATCTTTTGAAAGAAAAGGAATAACTCTGAGCATTGTGGTAAATCTACCTGATGAACAATTGGTTGACTTTATTTTCAAAATTTGATGTAAATTTTATATTAATCTTCATCTACGCCAATTATTAGTGAATCTATCTATTATAGAATAAATATGTGAACTTCCATAGACATTTTCATTGTAATCTAACGGAGTATTTGGAACCATCTTTGATAATTTGAACGACGGGAGCGCATTAAACTCCATTTGCTCTCTAACGATTGGATCCTCAAGGATCTCTAAAAGCAAAACAATTGATGAAGAAAAATTCAATCAATCATTTCTCTAATTCTTTCGAGTGTGAAATAATACAAGCAGTATAGATGTGCTCATGTGATCCAAACAATTCCATTTTCAATTGCTTTATATTGCTTGACTTTTAAATTATTTGATGCATTATATATTTCACGTGCATTTTATTTTTTCAATTCTTGCTACATTAAATCTACGTCGGTTTAACTTTTCACAACGGGCATCGATAAAACTCTTTTTAATGTTGCCATGCAAAGGGTATTTCATATTTCAATATGCAAAACCGGAGGAGCGCAAATAAATTTGGAATTTTTAACAACCTAAATTTCCTAATGAGTTCCCATGATCAATGCACTACAATATATGTGAAAGATGCAATTTTTTTTTTGTTCTATGGCTATAACGATTGGTATGGAAATGAGGAAACGGTACCTTATAAAATGTCTTCTGCTTGTTCCTAAGACATAATGCACTCCACATCATAACGTTCCTTGCATCACAGGATCAAAATATAGAAAGGGGCAGAAACTACTGCTAAGATGGTTTTGTACTTTTAAATACCTTCCGATCTTCTAATTGAAAACTATAGTACAAGCAAGATAGACACGCTTTTGAACGGGGAAAATCGCTACACATCATGCCTCGGATCTGCCAAAATGTTTACAAACTCTCAACAGGATCAACTTCTGTGCTCCCGCTAAAACAGCACACGCTAACTGAAACCGAAATTTAGTCAACATCCATGACCCGTTCCCTCATGTCGTCGGTGCTAGTCCACAGCTTAATTGTTCTGTCATGCGACACTGTAACTATATGACTTGCATCTGCACAAAAAGCACATTCATGAGCAGTCAGCAGGTTGAGAGGAATCCACATTGACGGGGGAAATACAATGTCAACTGACATAATTCAACAGTGAAATGCTCTGTTTTCCTTTATTCTTGCGGGATTAATCAGTTTGTCATTACTCTTTCATGCCATACAATGTCAAGTGACATATTCAACAGTGAAATGCTCTGTTTTCCTCTATTCTTGGGGGGATTAATCAGTTTGGCATCACAATACCAAGAATTTCCCGATGCCAATTACTGAATACTGTGGAGTAACCAGTTTAAGAAACATCTGCATTACATTAAGTTCCAAAAGGCTTTGTAACAACTGAGCAATCAGAGTTCTCACAGATGCACTTGACAGTATTTCTAGATCACAATAGTCGCCAATGTCAGCCTGCGATCCACAGGATCATGGCATTTGCTTTTGAACATATTTACCTATTCACCAGCTCATAAGTACACACATGACCATAATAGCAAATATTTGGTTCCCACATCACCAGGGCTGATCAAAATTCGAGGATCATAATCATGCATTACTGGCCAATTAAGACATTGCAAAAGAATACTCATCACAACAATCAAAATTAAGTCACAACAGAAAATAAATGCGTTTTTCTCTGAAACCACAGGGGGCTATCAATTTGGTTGCTGAAACTTCAAACACCAATCAATACGAACAATATACGGTGCCGCCCCCAAATGTTGCTAAGTCATGCTCAACCACCATCACCTCATACCATCTAGGCCCCGTTTGGTTCAGCATTCGAAATAAGCACTGGGGCTCTAAAGTCCCTTGGCCAAATGCAAATGGCGTTTGGCAATTTTTTTGAAGCACTTTGGGGAAATGCAATTGCATTTCCAAAGGCCTCTAAAGTCCCTTAGTCCAAGGCAAGTTTGGAGGTACTTTGACAAGTTACATTTTCGGAATGCTAGTAGCACTGTTCATGGACCGTTCATCTTCCCTGAGGATCTAGTCCGGAGGCCGGCGACCGCCGCCTGAGGGCTGGGTCGCCGGGGTTGGGCGACCCCTAGGCAGCGGTCGCCGGAGGTCGGGCGACCCCCTCAGGCGGTGGTGACCGGGGTCGCACGACCCAGGCGACGCCTAGGTCACGCAACCTCAGGCGAGGCTGGCCGGCAGCCAGATCTGGCCGTTGGCGGTTGGCCAGCGGCCAGATCTCGCTAGCGGAGGTTGGCCGGCGACCGTTTTGGCTTGCCGGTGGCTAAGCTCCACCTCAAAATTTTTTTTTTTTTAAAATATTAGCAAAAGTCCTTAAAAAAATTAGTTTTTACCAAACGGTATTTAGACCAAAGTTGCTTTCAAACGTGATTTTAAAATACACATTACCAAACACTACTTGCATTTTAGAAAACCCCTTTAGCCCAAAGACCTTTGGATTTTACCAAAGACATTCCCCCAAAATCGAACCAAACAGGCCCCTAGTCTGGCCATCATATATGAACATTTTTTCTTTTTTTCTGGGTGGGGGTGCTGGGCATAGACTAACAAATTGTATAGACTGCCAAATAACCACTAACCACCAAAGTTGTTGCATATTGTTCCCATCCCACCCACTTCATCTCTTGAAACTTAGTGCTTTGCAATTGTTTTTCTTGGTTTTGCATCAATCCAAATGTTAAGAAACCTATTTGCTAAAGAAATGAACTAAAAACTGGATAATTTGATTTACTTCCGGAAAGATTGTCCTGAAAGTAAGTATCTTCAAATTGACAGAGAGAATACTATGGAACCAGACAGAGGCTCGGTTCATCTTATGGCACATATCTTGCATGCTCAGCCACGTCAAAATTTTCCCGACTAAGTGAGTAGAGAACTAATCATATTGCACAAAGTTTTGCATAATCTACCCTCAAAACCATATATCCAAGAGAATCATAACTATGTTATGCTTGCATAGGAGTGAAGAAACTTACCTGCGGTGATATCCACTGATGTTATTTTGGCTTCATGCACTGACAAAGTTTTCACCGGCTTAAAGTCTCGGGCCGACCAGACCTAATCACATGCAGACACCAGATGTTATAAAAACAAGAACAGATTTTTCCACAACAATATAATTAAAGGGCAGAAAGCCAATCTAGTAAAACGAATACCTTTGCCGTAGTATCATATGACGCAGTCACCAGAAAGTATCCTTCTTGAGGCTCAAATTTCACTTCTGATATAAGATTTGCATGAGCAGGAATAACATACAATGACTTTTTCTTTCTTAAATCCCAAATACGACAGGTATTATCTTCACCACCGGTGGCTAAATGATATCCATTGGGTGAAAAGCTGATTCCCAGAATCTGAAAAGTGTATGGAAGAGGTATAAAAATCAACAGATGACAATATATTGGCAGCCAAGCATAAGTCAGTAACAATTCCAGAGACTCACTGGCTTAACATGTCCTTCCAAAGCAAGGATGCTTCTACCGGTGCGGAGGTCCCAAACACGTGCAAGAGCATCCAGTCCGCAAGATGCCACTAAGGATCCATCCTGGTTGAAGTCTATCCCATAAACACTTCTACTATGGCCTTCTTGAAGAAGTAGTTCCTCACCACTTTCTATATCCCACAACCTCCATGTCTTGTCAAAGCTAGTCGTACCCACGTACTTCCCTGATGGATGAAATGCAATACGACCAAGGCGATCCAGATGCCCCTCAAAAGTCTTCAAGATAGCTCCTTCAGTATTCCATATCTTTGCAGTCCGGTCAGCAGAAGCAGTTGCTATAAGATTTTGCACCGGAGAAAAGGCCACATCAGTAGCACGTTCTGTGTGACCCTTCAATGTGGACACTTTATTCACTTGAGGCATGCGACATGTGTCCCATAACTTAGCAACTCCACTCATGGAACTAGCAGAAGCAGAAAAAGCTAAGCTAAGTGATTCTCATACAATTGCAAAGTCAATCGCTAATGTTCAAGTCTACCCATGAAATATTATTTGGAAAGCCTGATTCCTAATTCATAATGAAAATGCATAACGAAGTCATGCTCAACACTACTCAGCATGATCAGGGTGTACAGCTATCATATAAATTCAATGAGATTTCATCACTCGAGAGGCAATTTGGTTGGTTGAAATGTGGTTCTGGCAGGTGGACAAAGAGCTTCCAATATTCAAATGAGCACTTATGCACTCTAACACGCATGCATCAAGGAGAAGATAAGCAAATTACCATGTGGCAAGCAGCTTTCCATCATGGGAGAAAGAGCAGCCTGAAAGTGGTCGATCATCACCAATCTCACTGCAATGCAAGGACAAGCTCTCTGCCTTTCTCAATGCCCAATCTATCTCTGCATCCACGTCCTCATCAGGGTCATCCCTTCTCCTTCTTGCACGTTCAAGACGCAGTGCAGCCCTCGCGATCGAAAATTTTGCAATATCTATTCTAGCATCCAAAAGAGCTTTAGATCCTTCGGTATAGAATGGATACTGAAGCATCTCTTCCTCGACATCCTCCGGAGCAGCGGAAGCAGCAGCCTCCTCATCCTCATGGGCTTTCATGAGCTTCTCGAGCTGTCCTTCAGCATCTAATTTAGCCATAAGCATCCGCAGCCGGTCCCGCCTTTCCATCTCTCTTTCCCCAAAGAGGGTCATAGGTTCTCCGAGCCGGCGAAGACGGGCACGTACAGCCTTATCATTAGTAGGCACCGCCAGAGCAGCACCGCGCCGCTTCATCATCAGATCTTGCATTGCCTTCTCATGCCGCTCCCGCACCAGCCTGCTCTCCTCTGTAATCTCATACTCCGCGGTCGACCCAGGAACAGCGCCCGCACGCCCCGCGTCATCATCGTCAGAGTCCGAGCCGCTACTGCTTCCAGCCTCTTCTTTCTTGGGCGCAGGAGGCCTGAAAACGGGAGGGCGGATGGGCAGAGGCGCCAGGGGTCGAAGGACCGGAGGAACTGCAGGAACAGGAGCCACCTGAGGCACCGCGGGAGGCGGGATTGCGGGCGGAAGAATCGGTTGAAGGGTAACACTATCGACAGCAGAAGCCAGAGCCTGACTATCCACAGCGGCATCGGTAGACTCCGCGAGGGCATTCAAATCTTCGAGATCCTCTTCAACACCCATGACAGCTGAGAAGACAAGGTTCAAAACGAGGCGCTCATCACAACTGGAAAGGAAGAAAAACAAAAAAAAAAAGCACCCAAAAAGCTGCTTCAAGGGTTTCTTCGACGGCCGTACCGAATTCAAGAGCGCTAGGCAATCGACTCGATACAGGTCCAACTCGAATCAACACTTCCAGGCGCGCGCGCGCGTTGCTAGTAAACAAAAAAAAAAAACCACGCATCAAGCAGAACCCAAGCAAATACACACGACGCCTTAACAATAAGACGGAAGCTGGTAAGAGATTCAGCCACCCAAAACCCGTCATTTTCAAGAGCAAAATCGGGGAGGAGGAAGCGGAAGCTGCACGGGGGAGGAACGCACCAAGGTTCAGGAAATCCTCGCGCAGCAACAAAATGACCTGCTACGCGAGGTGAGAGAGGGAGAGAACCTGAAAAGATAGTCACCTGAAGCTTCCTCTCGATCGTCTGGAGTGCGCTGAGAGCGCGGTGCACTGCAGGAGAACGAGAACGAGAACGAGAACGAGGGAGCTCTCCAACCTCCGACGCCTCGAGCGTACACCAGCTTGGGCTCTCTGCGCTCCTGCGAGGGTTCACCAGATGGCGGGCTCGGGCTGAGCATTCCATGCGGAGTTATAGTTCGGGCCGGGCCGGGTCAATGGTGGGGGGGGCTCGGTTCAGATGAACTCTTATCTACTCAAAACAAACATGTAGATCCGGGCTTGTTGGGGCCTGTCGAGGTCGGATCAGGCCCACGAAGGACGCAACAATTGCAGGGCTAGTTCCCAAAAAAAAAAAAAAAAAAAACAGTACCAACTTTACCTTGAGTGATAATTCTGACCCCGAACTTTTCTTTGTCCCGATAAAAAAACACTAAATTTTACTCGAGTCTGAAATATGGCCCCCGTGATGTGAAATTTTCAAATTGTTCGGGCCAGATTTTGGATTTAAGTGAAAGTTTGTGATTTTTTATGAGACAAAAAAAAAAGTTCGAGTCAGAATTATTACTCAAGGTAAAGTTAATGCTTTTTTTTGGGAATTAGACCGCATTTGCATGCGCCTGACTCTTGTGTGGATCTTAAAGCCTACGAAAGACATCATATGTGTGATCAAGTTGATCAGTTTTGAAAGCAGCGAATTTCACATTTAAATCGCAGCATACTTTGATGCACGTGAATAAGGTGATTTAAAAGCATTCGCAAAGGTTAGTCAAATCGAGAATTCGAACGCACGTGTTATAAAATATAAGAGAGCATAAAAGAGTTGAAAGTAGCGGGTGATGATCTCAACTCAATTTTTTTTTTTGCGAGAACACTAATAAAGCGATTGACATGATGAATGCGGCCGCGATAATCGAAAATCTTGATGCTTCGGTCTTTTGGGGTCTCTCCACTCAAAGGGTGTAACCTCTAATCGGATATTCCATAGCAGGCATGATCCTCTAGCTGCTAGAGTTGGTCGCCGCTTTTGGCTCGTCAAGGGAAAAAGACATTGGGTTATATAGCACAAACGATTCCTAAATTTGCATTTAATGTGCAATGTCGATTATGAATTTTGGCCTAACGTGTCAATGTAGTCTATAAACAATACGAAAATCTTTATAAGTTCAAGGATCATATTGAACATTGGATCGAAATTCAAGGTCACGGCGAACAAATCAAAAATTTTGAGAATGACCTTGCACAATAAACTAAATTTTAGGGATTGTGTGTGTCATTTTCTCATAAAATTATATCTTTCGCCGGGAACCGGCAAAAAACATCCTAGGACGAAACGACGACGGAGGACACTAAAAAACGCAAAAAGTTAAAAAATCTAAGCTTAGATACTCTTAAAAGGTTTAGCATATTCGGTTTTTTCGTACGTGAACATCTAAAGAACGGCGATTCTCTATTACACTTCCCCCCTGAACATTACGCCGACGATCGCCGCTCGCCGGGAGCTCTGCTTCTCTTCTCTCTCCGCCGACCCAATGGCCGTATCGCCGGCGGCGGTTCGAGCCTTGATCCTTTCCTTCACATTTCTGCTGTTCCTGAACCTGCGTCCGATCTCGCCTACGAAGGTCGGATCCGATCCCGGCGCGCCCGGCTGTGACGGCGACTACTACCAGGAGAAGTTCAGGCGCCGGGCGTCGCCGGAGAAGCGCCTCCCGGCGAGGCAGGGGTCGCCGTTCAAGATCGCCCTGTTCGCCGATTTGCACTTCGGGGAGGACGCGTGGACGGACTGGGGGCCCCGCCAGGACGTCAACTCCGTCCAGGTCATGTCCACCGTGCTCGACGATGAGGTTCCAGGTAAGTGCTTGTTTGGATTGGGTTTCGTTTTTCTTCTAGCGCGTTTCGCTTCGTGCTTGGCTCGGCCAGTGATTTGGCGAGTGTAGTGGACAGCCCAGATCCCGGGAATTTGCAAGGATAGTTCATTGGACTCGTGCTTTGAGAATTTGAGTGTGCTGTGGTGGGCGAGCTCAAAACAGTAGACTGCGGGTCGTAAAGAGATCGAATATGGAAGAAGAGGCCATCACTGGGTGAATGGCGAACGACCTAGACCTGCGGTTGATGCGCGTTAATGGTGATCTGGACTGAAGTTGGAAACAATAGAGAGAGGGCAAAAATTTTTCGACTTTTGACAAAAATTAGGACGCTGCTAACAATTCATAGGCCTTAAGATCTTCAAATTTTAGCTCTTGTTGCTGCTATTTCCGTGAATCAGCTACCAACCTGCTAAGTTTTGTGCAGGGCTTGCATTCGTGCGTTTTGCGACAGACTTGCCTGATACTTTGCCCAGGAAGCTCTTTAAAATAGGGACCTGTCGTTTGTCTGATCCACATTCTGACAAGACACATTGAATTGCGTTGCAGATTTTGTTGTGTATCTTGGAGATGTCATTACGGCAAATAACATTCCGATAGCAAATGCAAGCTCGTACTGGGATCAAGCTCTATCTCCAACAAGATCGAGGGGCATTCCCTTTGCTAGTGTCTTTGGAAACCATGACGATGCACAGTTTGTGTGGCCACTGGAGTGGTTTTCAGCCCCAGGCATTCCTTTGATTCACTGCCCTGTTGCAAATTCATCATTTTCAGGTAAACATCGAGGTTTGCTTACGTATGTTAAAGTCGACAATGCTTACATTAAACTGCAAATGTTTCTAATAGCCTGAACGCAAGATCATGGACTGGGATATCTTCACATCGATGTGATAGCTAGCTTGATGGAGTCATCGCATGAACAAAAGAAGCAGAAAGAATTGCTAGTATCGTAAATAATTAGATATAAAGTTGCACGGCACCTACAGTCTTGGAGTCGAATTAACTCGAAAAATGATCTCGTCTTGCAGATACGTGATTTATGTGTTGGTCGTATTTATACGTGATTTTTCCGTGTGTGATTAGGAGATTGCAGCTTCAGAGGAACACAGCGTTTGCAGCTCATGAAGAATGAGATAGAGCAGAATGCACTGTCCTATTCTAGTAAGGGTCCAGAGGATCTTTGGCCAAGCATATCCAATTACGTCCTTCAGATCTCGACAACGGATAATCCTCAGTCGCCTGTAGCGTACCTTTACTTTCTCGATTCTGGCGGTGGATCCTATCCAGAAGTAATATCAAAAGCCCAATCTGAATGGTTCAATAACCGATCTCTACAGATCAACCCAGATTCAAGGTACAAAGAAATGATGGCAGAACTTTTATTTATTTCGTATGCACCTATTACTGTTACTCATAAACTGAACTTATCCAGTTAATTTTCCCTGGTTTCCAGGAAGAAGCAATCGCGAACGCTGATAATCATATTTCTGTTGCAAAGAAATTTTTTTCTTTTTTTCTTTATAAAAAGATGGAGAAACTGTATAACGAGTGAGCAATTCGATGTTGGTTAGAATATCTATGAACTCTTTCTCCAGTTTTCTTGTGAAAAACAATTTATCACGTGGCACAGGGTACCAGAGTTGATATTTTGGCATATACCTAGTAAAGCTTACGTAAAGGTGGCTCCATGGATCGGTGTACGTAAGCCTTGTGTGGGCTCGATCAACAGGGAGACAGTTGCTTCTCAAGAAGCTGAAGCAGGGATCATGGAAATTCTTGAAAAGCGGCCTTCTGTCAAGGTAATTAATGCCACAAATTGGTTTGTTCATTGATACTTTGACGATCATCTGCTGAGCTGCTTTTATCACCTTGGTTTCTAGGCTTTGTCAACATGCAAGTATTATCTTTAAGCAAGACAGGCATTGAAACAAAAAAAAAAAAAAAAGCGGCAACGCTAGATGCTTCAACCACTTTCCAAGACTTGCCTGGTTTCTCCTTTGCATTTTTTTTTTCCCGGTCTGCACATTCTTGCTCCAGATATAAATGCATGTGGCTATACACAAGTTACTCCCGTTTGGTCTTCAGTGCTTTCTTTAAGAAAAGAGAAACTTGCTTGTCAAACTTCTTTTACACCCAGTGGAAGCATATGCCGCCACTTTCATGCATTAAGTTTGAGATACTTGAATCTTTGATAAACATTCGTTATTTCAATCTGATATGAGTAAAAGTGTAATTTTTTGTCACGATGGCAGGCAGTATTTGTTGGACACAACCATGGATTGGACTGGTGCTGCCCCTATAAGAAGCTGTGGCTATGCTTTGCCAGGCATACTGGGTATGGTGGCTATGGCAATTGGGCTAGAGGCGCGAGAATAATTGAGATAAATCAACACCCTTTCTCTATCAAGTCTTGGATAAGGATGGAGAATCACGACGTACACAGTGAAGTCCATTTGAGTTCTTAAAAGCGCTCGGTGTACAGTGAAAAAAAAAGCCACGTGATAAAGGACAGTATTCTCATGTACAAATGTGTCTAGCTCTTATAGAGAATGTATAGAATAATAAATTGTTGATTATATCTTGCTGGTTACCCATTCACGATAACCTCGATCACAATACATAACCCATTTCGATGCCTGAAGCGTAAAATCCTTGCAATCATTTGTAATTGAGTTCTAACTCCTCCAAGCTTAGTGTAATATCAATTCATCAAACGGCAGAACAAATTTCCATCAGTGCAGTTAGGCAATTTTGTTTCCATTCGCACACCCTACGAGCTTCTAGAACTACGCCCTTTCCAATGTAAGGACGGTGATGGGAAAAAATCTAGCCTTCTGCGCTGTGGAGTGTGGACTCCTAATATCAAACTGAGTTTCCATGCAGCCACAGATCGACCAAGGACGGTGATAGGAAAAAATCTAGCCTGCTGCGCTGTGGAGTGTGGACTCCTAATATCAAACTGAGTTTCCATGCAGCCACAGATCGACCACTATTCTTTGTCTTGTAATAGAGGGTCGTCCTGAAACAAGATGCTGTGCGTTATACCTGCGTTACAGCTATCAAATTATGCTTTTGGAGGTTGGAATCCATTAATATCGAAGTTTATGATTATTAACATTCACCTGTTTAACTAATAGTTAATCATGTGTGATGGGTGTCGAGGATAAACTTTCTTAACTAAATACTCAAAATGAGCACTCTGTCATATGCGTTAGAGGAAGAATTATATGAGACTTTCGTGATTTATTGCGATTGCCATTTTCTCTTCTTTCCTGTTTTTGCATGTTACATACTGCAGCAACTCTCTTATTTTAACATCATTGAGCTCACGATAGGTGTGCCCTTATTCCTTAACACAAGTCGGTGTGTACCCATTAGTTGAAATTAATAGGGTATTTTGGCTGTCTATTGGGGAAAAAGAGCCCCCAATGTTTCTCAAGCTCCGGGGTCTTCTGGTCCTCGTCGAACATAGCAAATATGTAAGTTTCGATTGGCTTTCCAGGCTTCTTGGGAGTCCCTTGCTTCACGTGCTGAATCAAATTCGAGTTGTAGATTCTCGCGTTGTCAATGGACGTTGCCTTCCCGCCAGCAGATGGCCAACCGCTCTCCGACACAACCACTTCTAGGGACCCCCCACCGGCTTTCTCTAGTGCAGAGTAAACAGCATCTAGAATTGCGTCAAACAAGTTCCGGTACCCAAGTGGTCCATCTTGCACCACGACCGAGTTCGCCGTGAACAGAGCATAGTCAAGGCGTTCCTGGGGATTGTTCGCATAGCTGAAGTACGGATAGAGGTTGACAAGCAAAAGGGACTTGTTGTTGACTAGGAATTGGATTATAGGATCTAGAAGCGGTCTGTGATCGGACTTAAGTGTGCCCTTCGATGGAGGAGACGATTCTCCTAAGATGATCGTGTCCACAGCTGTGGAAACCTTGATCTGGGCCCCGAGTCCGGCGTTCGAGATGGCAGTCTGGATGTTTCGCATGGCGGGGACGAGAAACTGGGCATTTTGAGAAGAAGGCTGCACTTCATTGCCAACTGCTATGTACCTGAACTTGACATTGCCATAGTTCTTCACATTGTTTTGGACCCAAGTGTTTGCATTGGTTTGGCTAGAGGCAATCCTTTGGAGGTCCTCATTGGGAAGGCCCAGCATGAGCTCAATGTTGGTGCCTCTAAGGGCTTGGAGAGCGGGCTGGTCCGGGCCATAGAGCCGCATCCTGCGGATATTGCGCTGGTTGTAGAGCGCAACCACGTCTGGCCGCGAAGGCAAGTTGGTGCCGAGCATTCCATAGCAAACCCCTATTTGAGCACCTGCATGGAATGGACAGAAGAGTTATTGCTTCAACGTAATTCTAGACTCTTCTTACTATGTGAAAGAAAAGCTTGCAAGATCTAACATCGTTAGTTGAATGAAAGTTGTTGAAGGGATAAGTGGTCTTTCATACTGTCAAAGCAGGTTTAAGATCTTGTACTTCTAATACAAATGAAGCTTAGTTTTGTGACCTTACCAGCTATGACTTCAGGCATGGTCAATTCAAATAGTTTTTCCGACCAAAAAAAAAATTCAAATATTTTGGTAAGGCTACTTTTTTGAGAGGGCACAGATTTTCCCTTATATATTTCATGATTTATAGAAATTCTTCCGTAAATTTGCTTCATTTGGGCTAAGGGTAGAATAGTAAACCGCCCATCTATATACCATTCCATCCCGTGCATCTTTGATATTTGAACTGGATTTATCAGCATTAGTGATGCATAGATTACAATCATCAGCTTTGATGAGATTCCATTTCAGGGCCACAAGATACGTCCGCGGGCTGGATCGGCTCTATTCTATGCATAACATAATCAGCACATAAATCTATCACCACAAAGAAAGATGCCATGCATTACTTCCCTTTGTAATTGCTCAACCGTGAGGACAGGTCGGTGTAATCTCTATATGTCACCATGAATGCGAGTCTCAACTTGCTTATATAACTTATCTAGCTACCTCGGAGATCCTAGTTGTGAAAGGAGAAAACACAGCACGAGAACACGCACGAAAGATCACGTGATACGAATGAGTAGACATTATAGTCCATTAAGAAGTAAAAAAGATTATATTCATTATCTTACTAACGAAATGAAATCATTGGATGATCTTTCCACAGAGAGAGAGAGAGAGACGAGCCTGTTGTATCAAAATTAGCTGCTAAAAGAGCCACTGTTAGCATGACAGAGAATATGGAAGATGTGAATGAAGCCATTTGAGACGGAGCGAGAAAGTTGCAGTTTGCAATCTCGGAAGATGCTCCTTTTTATATAGGGAGATGTGCATTGTATCACTACTTGTGCAGATTTCTAAGTAATGGCACGTGAAGACTAAGCAGTCTCCCTCTCTCCTTCTCCTCGCCACGTCCATCTGATCAAGACTTGATCATTTGCCAGGTCAAGTGCGCACCCCAAATGAAGACATATATCTCTCTCTCTCTCATCCATGTGATCAAGACTTCATGGTCTGCCAGGTCCAGTACGCAATCCCAATGGAGACATCTTTGGAGTGATCTCCATCTGTAAAGGCTAATGGAATTTTCCCCTCCAGCGACTAAGACTAATTCGAAGTCCCACGAGGTCTACTACCGACTGGAACTCCAAGCTATCGTGGCATGAAAATCATTAGGACTTTGAAAAGTTGGCGGAGGCTAGTGCTAGAAATCAGGACATTTTTCCACGAATGGGAAAAAAAAAACACGATGCTAGTAATAACACTAATCAAGAAATCATGTTTCCCTTGGGACACGGCAGCCCTTCGGTTTCGTGCCCGCTTACACAGTAGTCAAGCTATAGTAACGAGCTTATCCTTACAATTGCATGTGGAAACCGAATTCCGTAACGGATGTAAAACTCTCTAAGTAATGCGCTCGCACTCTCTTCACACGTGTGCATACCCACGACAAAAGGATAACTCTATCAGGCTCCTTGTACTCGAGGTGTTTGTTGTGGTTAACTTTTCGCTTTTCTTATATGAACAAGTGCATTAAAAGTCTTAAAACTTGTCACGAAAGTGCAATTGAGTCTTTAAATTTTCAAAAAATGCAATCAAGTCTTGAAACTTATTACAAAAATGTAATCAAGTCCTAAAACTTTGAAAATGTACAATCAAATCCTAAAACTATTCGTGAAAATGCAATCAAGTCCTAAAACTTTCAAAAATTATAATCAACGGAAGGACTTGATTGAACCAATTTGACAAATTTTAGGACTTGATTGAACTTTTTAAAAGTTTTTGGACTCGATTGCACTTTCGTAACAAGTTTTAAGACTAGATTGCACTTTTTGAAAATTTTAAGAGTCAATTGCACCTTTCGTAATAAGTTTTAGGGCTTTCAGTGCACTTATCTCTTTATTTTAAATTGTTAGAATATGAAAACACATTCATATTGAGCATCTCAAATTCATAATGTTGACAAAAAAAGAATAAAAATCTTAAAGCCATCTAACCCATAACATTTTAAAATCATATTAGACTTTTCCATATTATACTCTTAGAAGGGGTTTTCCACTTTGTCACGACTCAGGGAGTCACAGGTGTATTTATAGTTTCCCAAGTTTTGCTTGAACCAAGAGAACTTATCTTCATGAATAGACCTCATCAAACAACCTATTCAACCATTCGCCCACTCCACTGATTCCCTGTGGATATTGTTAATTTTTTTTTTTTGGTCGAAATGGATATTGTTATTTGTATGGTAGGAATTTTAGGCCTGCCACAATAGTCAAAAGCCGTAAAATCATACTGGGACCGGGATTCGTCTTGCTATCGAGATTGGACCTAGATTAATGAATTCTAAGGTTGAAATTCAAGCCTTGTGGTCCAATGACATACCGATTCAAGCGCCGTGATTAGCGTCATTGCATTCGGGTCTTACTAATCAAGTGTCATCAATCTTGTCATGGATCTATATCAGCATCAGGGATAGTTAACAAAGTGATCCTATCTAGACAAATGAACTTGTACCATCGATTAAGGGGACATCTTGTCCTGTCCTTTAATTGCCTTTCACTCTCTCTAAAATTTTGAAATCGAGGAAGAGCATATACATCAAGACAAATGAAGAAGGCAACTGCACAGATTTTTATCAGAAAGCAATCAGAATAACTTATTTTATTTCTTTTCTTGATAAGAAACAGAAGGAGCTCCACTGAACTAAAGAGTACAGAACAGTAACTTGCAAAAAAAAAGAAAAAGGGAAAAAGTTCCACTTCATCTACTGATAGACAACTAACTGTCGTACAGAAGTATAAACTCACAAATAATGCAACGCCAGATGCTCTAGACCAATTTACAACGAAAAAGTTACCTTAATATACCAGCGGCAATTAGATAGTTGCTAGAATCACATTGCCTCGGCAATATCCTGATTGGTGGGCAATCCACAAGCCATGGAGATGAATATCCACTCCTCCCCAGGATGTTAATATAAAAGGGCGCCTCACAACAAATCAGCTTCACTTTTTGGAGCCGATCTTTGACACGCCCATTTTATAAGAATCCGTGCATATGCGAGCACACAAAAATGCTGCAGTTCAATGAGATCATATCTTGTCATTCAATGTCAACCAGCTTCAACCATCAAGAACGGAAAGGCATTAGGCAGGTTGTCCAGGAAAGCTCAATCGCCTAAGGACATGTCATCCTCATCCAACCAAGGACCTAGTGTCATCACTCTTCATTTTCAAGCAGATGACTCCTCAATATCATGATTATCTTTTGAAGGACCCCATCATTTTGAGCCAGATATTCTTCCGCTTCATGTTTAGCACAGAAAACCTTCCCGTATATGTTGTGTGTGGATCCTTCTTTCCAGATAATCCCATGATCACAGGCCAATTCTAAGACCTCAGATTCCAAGCAAAAACCCTTTCCAAACATGATTCCTAGTTCAGCTTTCTTCTTAACGGGTGCCAACTTATTTTTCACCACTTCCTCGCAAACCCGAAGACCAGTTGGCCAGTGAAATTGCCGCCCAAAAGTAAATGTCAAACAGATAATTAGAGATAAATACTATTGGAAAATCATAGTGCAAGAAAATTCTCTGTACAAACAATCTTAAGTTAGAAACTGAATTCCGTCAACTAATAAAAACAACACTCTGAAAGTCCAAACATTCTCATAAATACAGTTAAGAAAAAAAAAAACTCCATCTTGAAGATCTTGTTTACGTAATCATTCACACAAATATTCAAATAGATCAGCTTTCCCTGTCGTGAGATTTTGGTAGAACCACTGCCAACTGTTCTAAAAGCTTAAACTGTTAGATGAAGGCGTAGTTTAATATTTAATTACTTTAACACTCTCCTCCATGCTTAGTTTGGTCTTTTTGCCTAGTACTAAGCGTGGACATATTTAATTGGGGAGACAAATGGGGCCTGGAAAGATTGGAACTCAGGACCACCAGCTCTGATACCATATGAGATTTTGGTAAAACCATTGCCAACTGTTTTAAAAGCTTAAGCTGTTAGATGAAGGCATAGTTTAATATTTAATTACTCTAACACCTACAAATCAGAACAATATCGTAATGAGCAAATCCTGTCATACTTCTGCTCCCTTCCAAATTTTGAGAGCCTAACAAAAACATAATAGAGGACGCTATATGCTCCATCAATTAATTCATAGAAATTTGCACTGCCGGAACATATTAATAAATAATACTGATCCCGTGGAAAAAGTACATAGCACTAATTTGAGAAAAATCCTCTACTTCCAACAAATGAGTAAATGCAACTACTAGAGGGAGATTATATATATAGGCCCATTGAAATCCATTAAGTAAATGAACAGGGATACTTATGCACTCTAACACGCGTGCATCAAGGAGAAGATAAGTAAATTACCATGTGGCAAGCAGCTTTCCATCGTGGGAGAAAGAGCAGCCTAACAGTGGTCGATCATCACCAATCTCACTGCAATGCAAGGACAAGCTCTCTGCCTTTTTCAATTCCCAATCTATCTCTGCATCCTCATCCTCATCGGGGCCGTCCCTTCTCCTTCTTGCACGTTCAAGATGCAGTGCAGCCCTCGCGATCGAAAATTTTGCAATATCTATTCTAGCATCCAAAAGAGCTTTAGAACGTTCGGTATAGAATGGATACTGAAGCATCTCTTCCTCGACATCCTCCGGTGCAGCGGAAGCAGCAGCCTCCTCATCCTCATGGTCTTTCATGAGCTTCTCGGGCTGTCCTTCAGTATCTAATTTAGCCATAAGCATTCGCAGCCGGTCCCGCCTTTCCATTTCTCTTTCCCCAAAGAGGGTCATAAGTTTCTCCGAGCCGGCGAAGATGGGCACGCACAGCCTTATCATTAGTGGGCACCGCCAGAGCAGCACCGCGGCGCTTCATCATCAGATCTTGCATTGCCTTTTCATGCCGCTCCCGCACCAGCCTGCTCTCTTCTGTAATCTCATACTCCACGGTCGACCCGGGAACAGCGCCTGCACGCCCTGCGTCATCATCGTCCGATTCCGAGTCACTACTGCTTCCAGCCTCTTCTTTCTTGGGTGAAGGAGGCCTGAGGCCTGAAAACGGGAGGGCGGATGGGCAGAGGCGCCAGAGGTCGAAGGACCGGAGGAACTGCAGGAACAGGAGCAACCGGAGGCGCAGCGGGAGGCGGGATTGCGGGCGGAAGGCTGGGCAGGGTGGGTTGAAGGGTAACGCCATCGACGGCAGAAGCCAGAGCCTGACTATCCACAGCGGCATCAGTAGACTCCGCGAGGGCATTCAAATCTTCGAGATCCTCTTCAACACCCATGACAGCTGACAAGACAAGGTTCAAAACGAGGCGCTCATCACAACCGGAGAGGAAAACAAAAACACCCAAAAGCTGCTTCAAGGGTTTCTTGAACGGCCGTACCGAATTCAAGAACGCTAGGCAATCGACTCGATACCGAGCCAACTCGAATCAACACTCCAGGCGCGCGTTGCTAGTGAAAAGAAAACCACATATCAAGCAGAACCCAAGCGAAACAGACGACCCCTTAACAATGAGACGGAAGCTGATAAGAGATTCAGCCACCCAAAACCCATCATTTTCAAGAGCAAATCGGGGAGGAGGAAGCAGAAACTGCACAGGGGAGGAACGCACGAAGGTTCAGGAAATCCTGGCGCACCAACAAAATGCCCTGCTACGTGGGGTGAGACAGGAAGAGAACCTGAAAAGATTGTCAGCTGAAGCTTCCTCTCGATCGTTTGGAGTGCACTGAGAGCGCAGTGCAGTGCAGGAGAACGAGAACGAGAACGAGAACGACGGAGCTCTCCAACCTCCGACGCCTCGAACGTGTACCAGCTTGGGCCTGCGCTCCTGCGAGGGATCACTAGATGGCGGGCTCGGGCTGAGCATCATGTGCCGAGTTGTCTCTCGGGCCGGGCCAATGGGCAGACCCGGCTCGTACGGGCCCGTCGCGGTCGGATCAGGCCCACGGAGGAAGCAAACGTTTGCGTGTACCCGACTCTCGTGTGAATCTAAAGAAACATCAAGCCGTCGTCGGATCAGCGTGATGCAGAATCCCGCACGAGGCTCGACAACTACGAAAGACATAGCATGTGCAATCAAGTTGATCGGTTCGAAATTAGCGAACTCCATATTTGTACACCTGATGCACGTGAACAGGACGATTCAAGCACATTCATAAAGATTTCATTAAAAAAAGAGAAAGAGAAAGAGCATGAAAGAGTTAGAGAAAGTATCGGGTAATAAATCCCGAATCGGTCGTTTTCTGCTAGAACACTAATAAAAGGAGACCTACTAATAAAAGTGATTGGGCGTGATGAATGGGACCGCAATAATGATCGAAAATCCTTGGGCTTTAACATCCTCGGACGAGACGACAACGGAGGACATTAAAAAACGCAAAAAGAGCTGAACATCTAAAGCTTAGATACTCCTAAAAGGTTTCGCATATTCGGTTTTTTCGTACGTGAGCATGTAAAGAACGGCGATTCTCTATTACACTTCCCCCCTGAACATTACGTCGACGATCGCCGATCGCCGGGAGCTCTGCTTCTCTCCTCTCTCCGATGACCCAATGGCCGTATCGCCGCCGGCGGCTCGAGGCTTGATCCTCTCCTTCGCATTTCTGCTGTTCCTGAACCTGCGTCCGATCTCGCCTTCGGCGGTCGGATCCGATCCCGGCACGCCCGGCTGTGCCGGTGACTACTACCGGGAGAAGTTCAGGGGCCGGGCGTCGCCGGAGAAGCGCCTCCCGGCGAGGCAGAGGTCGCCGTTCAAGATCGCCCTGTTCGCCGATTTGCACTTCGGGGAGGACGCCTGGACGGACTGGGGGCCCCGCCAGGACGTCAACTCCGTCCAGGTCATGTCCACCGTGCTCGACGATGAGGTTCCCGGTAAGCGCTTGCTTGGATTGGGTTTCGTTTTTCTTGTAGCGCGTTTCGCTTCGTGCTTGGCTCGGCCAGTGATTCGGCGAGTGTCGTGGACCGCCCGGATCCCGGGAATTGCGAGGATAGTTCATTGGACTCGTGCCTTGAGAATTTGAGTGTGCTGTGGGGGGCGAGCTCGAAACAGTTGAATGCGGGTCGTAAGGAGATCGAATATCCAAGAAGAGGGCGTTATGTGGTGGGTCGCAAATGACCTGTGGTTTGGTTTGTGCGCGTTGATGGTGATCTGGACTGAAGTTGGAAACGATGGAGACCTTGGAGTTGGCGAATACTTTGGAGACCTTATTTCTCATACCAAGCATGCCCACGTGAGTTTAGGGAAATCGAAATATGAACCGACGATATGTGACCCAACGGATGGAATATCGGAGCAAATCGGTTTTTTTCTTTTAGGCTTGTGTTTTAAGCTGACTCGTTTGTTGTGGGATCAAACGGATTCAAATGGGCTTGGATTTTGGGCCCATTTTAAGTTCTATATATTGTACTTGTATGAGAGATCATTGTGACAAGTGGTTGTGATTATAAACCTAAATATCATAGTGGAATCCTTTTGCAAGACGTAGCCCTATTCTGGAGTGAATCTGGGTAAACTCGTGTATCGATTTTTCTATTATCCGTGTGATTGTTCTGATTTTGTTTAGGATATAAACCATCAGGAGAAAGGGAGAAATGGTTGTTCTTCTTTTGAAAAAATTAGGACACTGCCACTAATTCATAGGACTTAAGGTTTTCAAATTTTAGCTCATGCTGCTGCTATTCCGTGAATCAGCTTCCAACCTGCTAAGTTTAGTGCAGGGCTTTAATTCGTGCGTTTTGCGACAAACTCAGCCTGCTACTTTGCCCGGGAAGCTCTTTGAAATGGGGACCTGTCTTTAGTCTGATCCACATTCTGACGAGACACATTGAATTGCGTTGCAGATTTTGTTGTATATCTTGGAGATGTCATAACGGCAAATAACATTCCGATAGCAAATGCAAGTTCGTACTGGGATCCAGCTCTATCTCCAACAAGATCGAGGGGCATTCCCTTTGCTAGTGTCTTTGGAAACCATGACGATGCACCGTTTGTGTGGCCATTGGAGTGGTTTTCAGCCCCAGGCATTCCTTTGATTCACTGCCCTGTTGCAAATTCATCATTTTCAGGTAAACATCGAGGTTTGCTTACGTATGTTAAAGTCAACAATGCTTACATTTAACTGCAAATGTTTCTAATAGCCAGAACGCAAGTTCATGGACTGGGATATCTTCACATTGATGTTATAGCTAGCTTGATGGAGTCATCGCATGAACAAAAGAAGCAGAAAGAATTGATAGTATAGTATATAATTAGATATAAAGTTGCACGGCACCTACAGTCTTGGAGTCGAATTAACTCGAAAAATGATCTCGTCTTGCAGATACGTGATTTATGTGTTGGTCGTATTTATACATGATTTTTCCGTGTGTGATTAGGAGATTGCAGCTTCAGAGGAGCACAGCGTTTGTAGCTCATGAAGAATGAGATAGAGCAGAATGCACTGTCCTATTCTAGTAAGGGTCCAGAGGATCTTTGGCCAAGCATATATATCCAATTACGTCCTTCAGTTCTCGACAACGGATAATCCTTAGTCCCCTGTAGCGTACCTTTACTTTCTCGATTCTGGCGGTGGATCCTATCCAGAAGTAATATCAAAAGCCCAATCTGAATGGTTCAATAACCGATCTCTACAGATCAACCCAGATTCAAGGTACAAAGAAATGATGGCAGAACTTTTATTTATTTCGTATGCACCTATTACTATTACTCATAAACTGAACTTATACAGTTAATTTTCCCTGGTTTCGAGGAAGAAGCAATCACGAACACTGATAATCCTATTTCTGTTGCAAAGAAATTTTTTTCCTTTTTTCTCAATAAAAAGATGGAGAAACTGTATAACGAGTGAGCAATTCGATGTTGGTTAGAATATCTATAAACTCTTTCTTCAGTTTTCTTGTGAAAAACAATTTATCACGTGGCACAGGGTACCAGAGTTGATATTTTGGCATATACCTAGTAAAGCTTACGAAAAGGTGGCTCCATGGATCGGTGTACGTAAGCCTTGTGTGGGCTCGATCAACAAGGAGACAGTTGCTTCTCAAGAAGCTGAAGCAGGGATCATGGAAATTCTTGAAAAGCGGCCTTCTGTCAAGGTAATTAATGCCACAAATTGGTTTGTTCATTGATACTTTGACGATCATCTGCTGAGCTGCTTTTATCACCTTGGTTTCTAGGCTTTGTCAACATGCAAGTATTATCTTTAAGCAAGACAGCCATTGAAAACACAAAAAAAAAAAGCGGCAACGCTAAATGCTTCAACCACTTTCCAAGACTTGCCTGGTTTCTTCTTTGCATTTTTTTTCCCGGTCTGCACATTCTTGCTCCAGATATAAATGCATGTGGCTATACACAAGTTGCTCCGGTTTGGTCTTCAGTGCTTTCTTAAGAAAAAGAGAAACTTGCTTGTCAAACTTCTTTTACACCCAGTGGAAGCATATGCCGCCACTTTCATGCATTAAGTTTGAGATACTTGAATTTTTTATAAACATTCGTTATTTCAATCTGATATGAGTAAAAGTGTAATTTTTTGTCACGATGGCAGGCAGTATTTGTTGGACACAACCATGGATTGGACTGGTGCTGCCCCTACAAGAAGCTGTGGCTATGCTTTGCCAGGCATACTGGGTATGATGGCTATGGCAATTGGGCTAGAGGCGCAAGAATTATTGAGATAAATCAACACCCTTTCTCTATTAAGTTTGGATAAGGATGGAGAATCACGACGTACACAGTGAAGTCGATTGGAGTTCTTAAAAGCGTACGATGTACAGTGAAAAAAAGCCACATGATAAAGGACAGTGTTCTCATGTACAAATGTGTCTAGCTCTTATAGAGAATGTATAGAATAATAAATTGTTGATTATGTCGTGCTGGTTACCCATTCATGATAACCTCGATCACAATACATAACCCATTTCGATGCCTGAAGAGTAAAATCCTTGCAATCATTCGTAATTGAGTTCTAACTCCTCCAAGCTTAGTGTAATATCAATTCATCAAACGGCAGAACCAATTTCCATCAGTGCAGCTAGGCAATTTTGTTTCCATTCGCACACCCTACAAGCTTTTGGAACGACGCCTTTTCGAATGTAAGGACGGTGATAGGAAAAAATCTAGCCTGCTACACTGTGGAGTGTGGACTCCTAATATCAAGCTGAGTTTCCATGCAGCCACAGATGGACCACTATTCTTAGTCTTGTAATAGAGGATCGTCCTGAAACAAGATGCTGTGCGTTATACCTATGTTACAGTTATCAAATTATGTTTTTGGGGGTTGGAATCCATTAATATCGAAGTTTATGATTATGAACATTCACCTGTTAACTAATAGTTGATCATGTGTGATGGGTGTCGAGGATAAACTTTCTTAACTAAATACTCAAAATGAGCACTCTGTCATATGCGTTAGAGGAAGAATTATATGACTTTCGTGATTTATTGCGATTGCCATTTTCTCTTCTTTCCTGTTTTCGCATGCTACATACTGCAGCAACTCTCTTATTTTAACATCATTGAGCTCACGATAGGTGTGCCCTTATTCCTTAATACAAGTCGGTGTGTACCCATTAGTTGAAATTAATAGGGTATTTTGGCTGTCTATTGGGGAAAAAGAGCCCCCAATGTTTCTCATACTCCGGGGTCTTCTGGTCCTCGTCGAACATAGCAAATATGTAAGTTTCGATCGGCTTTCCAGGCTTCTTGGGAGTCCCTTGCTTCACGTGCTGAATCAAATTCGAGTTGTAGATTCTCGCGTTGTCAATGGACGTTGCCTTCCCGCCAGCAGATGGCCAACCGCTCTCCGACACAACCACTTCTAGGGACCCCCCACCGGCTTTCTCTAGTGCAGAGTAAACAGCATCTAGAATTGCGTCAAACAAGTTCCG